AAAAAAAGATTTATTTATTTGAGAGAGAGAGAGTACAAGTGGGGAGAGGGGAGAGGGAGAAGCAGGATTCTGGGATCATGACCTGAGCCAAAGGCAGATGCTTAACCGACTGAGATACCCAAGTGCCCCTATATTTCTTTATTTTTCTAAGGTTTTATTTATGTTTTAGAGGGGAAGAGGGGCAGAGAGGGAGAGAGAAACTTAAGTCCAACATGGGGCTCAATCTCACGACCCTGAGATCACGACCTGAGCAGAAACCAAGAGTTGGAGGCTTAACTAACTGAGCCACCCAGGTGCCCCACCTTTCTATATTTCTTTAATGTTATGTCAGGGAGGTTTGGAGAGGTAGGGGAGATAAGGACTACAGTTATGTTTAATCAAGAGTCTCCAGCTACTTATTTATTTTTATCTTAACTTTTCTTCAAAATAATAAAAAATTTAAAAATTTTTAAATTTTATTTAAATTCAATTAATTAATGTATATTGTATTATTAGTTTCAGAGGAGAGTTCAGTGATTCATCGGTTGTATATAAAAACCCAGTGCTCATTACGTCACATGCTCTCCTTAATGCCCGCACCCAGTTGCTCCATCTCCCAATCCCCCTCCCCTCCAGCAACCCTCAGTTTGTTTCCTACAGTTAAAAGTCTCTTACGGTTTGTCTCCCTCTCTGATTTTGTCTTGTTTTATTTTTCCTTCCTTTCCCCTATGCTCCTGTTTTGTTTTTTAAATTCTACATATGAGTTAAATCATATAATTGTCTTTCTCTGATTGACTTATTTCGCTTAGCATAATACCCTCTAGTTCCATCCACGTTGTTGCAAATGGCAAGATTTCATTTTTTTGAAGGCTGAGTAATATTCCATTGTATATATACACCACATCTTCTTTATCCATTTATCTGTCGATGGACACCTGGGCTCTTTCCATAGTTTGGCTATTGTGGACATTGCTGCTATAAACATTGGGGATGCAGGTGCCCCTTCGGATCACTACATTTATAACTTTGGGGTAAATACCTAGTAGTTTAATAGCCGGGTTGTAAGGTAGCTCTATTTTTAACTTTTTGAGGAACCTCCATACTGTTTTCCAGAGTGGCTGTACCAGCTTGCATTCCCACCAAGAGCGTAAGAGGGTTCCCCTTTCTCCACATCCTTACCAACATCTGTTGTTTCCTGACTTGTCAGTTTTAGCCATTCTGATCGACTGGTGTGAGGGGGTATCTCATTGTGGTTTTGATTTGTATTTCCCTGATAAGTGATGTTGAACATTTTTTCATGTGTCTGTTGGCCATTTGTATGTCTTCTTTAGAGAAATGTCTGTTTATGTCTTTTGCCCATTTCTTGACTGGATTATCCGTTCTTTGGGTGTTGGATTTGGTACGTTCTTTATAGATTTTGGATACTAGCCCTTTATCTGATGAGACATTTGCAAATATCTTCTCCCATTCTGTCGGTTGTCTTTTGGTTTTGTCAACTGTTTCCTTTGTTGTGCAAAAGCTTTTTATCTTGATGAAGTCCCAATAGTTCATTTTTGCCTTTGTTTCCCTCGCTTTTGGAGACGTGTCTAGTAAGAAGTTGCTACCGCTGAGGTCAAAGAGGTTGCTGCCTGTGTTCTCCTCTAGGATTTTGATGGATTCCTGTCTCACATTTAGGTTTTTCATCCACAAAATAAGACCTGATGAGGATTACAAACCAACCCCCGCCAAAAAAAAAGCCCCAAAACCAAACAACCAGTAAGTACAATTTTTAAAAAAATGAAGAAGAAGAAAACAGTGGGAAAAGGAGAGAAATGTACCAATTTCAGGAGGGAGTTGCTGGGATAAATTCTGTATCTGAGCTTCTTTTTTTTTTTTTTAAAGATTTTATTTATTTAGGGCGCCTGGGTGGCTCAGTTGGTTAAGCGACTGCCTTCGGCTCAGGTCATGATCCTGGAGTCCCTGGATCGAGTCCCGCATCGGGCTCCCTGCTCGGCAGGGAGTCTGCTTCTCCCTCTGACCCTCCCCCCTC